TGGCTTGACTGGTGCAGACGAGGTTGTTCTGCCATGCTGAAGGTGGAATCGGGATGGCTCCGCCCACTCCCCACCCTCAGCAGCCTTCTGTTTCCTCCCTTGCACCAGTTGCTCGCGGGCGGTATATGAGCCCTGGATGGGCTGGTTCTGACCCCCCGGGCCTTATGTTCGACACCCCTGCTTTAGATCTTTTTAAGTGGAGGTGCTGGGGACTAGACCATGGATCACCTGCATATGAACTACGGCTTGGATCCTAACAGACCACTCCCACAATGCAACAGCAGTGCCTCTGACCGAAGAGCCTTTTCGTTTGTGGAGGAAAGAAGGATCTTTACTGGCTCAATGGGTCATTTCGTAGAAAAAGAGGTGCAGGAGCGCGTTAGCATAATTCATTAGCATAACTCGTTTGCATATGACACACCCCCTGACATCACCGGAAGTGTGTCGGAAGGCAACAGCTAATGCAGATCTGTCTTCGCAGAAGAGGGGGAGCTTGTACCTAAATAAAACTTGGTCTTAAAGGTGCCACTGGACTGTTTTGGATTGCTTGCTATGGGGGAGGGAACACGCAGATCTGTCCTCGCAGAGGAGGGGGAGCTTGTACCTGAATAAAACTTGGTCTTAAAGGTGCCACTGGACTGTTTTGGATTGCTAGCTATGGGGGGGGGGACATGCAGATCTGTCTTCGCAGAAGAGGGGGAGCTTGTACCTGAATAAAACTTGGTCTTAAAGGTGCCACTGGACTGTTTTGGATTGCTTGCTATGGGGGAGGGAACGCGCAGATCTGTCCTCGCAGAGGAGGGGGAGCTTTTACCTGAATAAAACTTGGTCTTAAAGGTGCCACTGGACTGTTTTGGATTGCTAGCTATGGGGGGGGGACACACGCAGATCTGTCCTCGCAGAGGAGGAAGAGCTTGTACCTGAATAAAACTTGGTCTTAAAGGTGCCACCAGCCTTTTTTGGACGAGGGGGGGGGGGCTCTGCAACTTACCTGGCTGCTTCTTGCTCTGAGGGCCGCTGGGAGCAGGGGACGGGGCTTGCTGCATGTGCCTGCCCCCTGGGCTCCTTACTGCCGGAGTTCTGCTCCTGTGCGCTCCCGCTGGAAATGACCCCTGAGCACGAGAAGTGCTCACCGGAGTGTAATCTGAAGTTAAAGACAATATCTTAATTTCTAACACCTCCAGTGCTCCCGACTGGACCCTACTGCCCTTCTCGAAGGAAGCAAAGAGCAACCACTTGACTAACTAGTTAGGAAACTGGGCCAAAACCACATGCAGGCCTTTGGCTGAGGCAGTGGATGTCCAGTGTATGGCCTCCCTGAGGTTCTTGTCACCGATTCAACAACTGCTGGCCATTATTTACATCTTACCAAGGGCCAGGAGGATCTCTCGCAATTGTTAATCTCTCTCCTGTAGGGCCACCATTTTAATATATATGACAGTGTCTTAATATTTTAATTCTTTATTGTACTTATTGTATTTTTTATTGTACTGATGAGATGTTGTTACTGCCCTGAGCCCACCTGCATGAAGGGTAGGCTATGAAGAAGAAGAGGAAGAAGAAGAAGGAGAGGAGGAGGAAGAGGAAGAGGAGGAGGAGGAAGAAGAGGAAGAGGAAGAGGAGGAGGAGGAGGAAGAAGAAGAAGGGGAAGAGGAGGAGGAGGAGGAGGAGGAGATTGGATTTATACCCTGCCCTTCACTACCCAAGGTGTCTCAGAGCGGCTTACAAACTCCGTTCACTTTCCCTCCCCACAACAGACACCCTGTGAGGTCAGTGGGGCTGAGAGAGCTTTGACAGGAACTGCTCTTTTTCAAGAACAGCTCTTATCAGAACTATGGCTTGCCCAAGGTCATCCAGCAGGTCCAAGTGGAGGAGTGGGGTAAAATGTTCATTTTTATTGTAGCGATTCTTCCCATCATGGAAAGTTGCAGATTTTTCCAGTTGTCCAATCATGTTTAGTTTTTTGTAGCAGTGCTTTATAGTTGTCTTCATAAAGTGTACTACATTTGTTTGTAACCGAAATAAAAGTCCTGAAGGAAATTCCCTGGAGGGTTAGGGAAAAAAGAGGAGAATATGCAAAATTAACATGGTTGCTGAAGAAAAATGACATTCAATACAGATGGTTATTTCCAGAGGTCATGGGCTTTACCTATCAAGGGAAAAAATACTGGATTACATCTATTTTTAAAGTGGAAGATTTTCTAGGAAAATATGGGGAAGAACTTGGAATGGAAGAAGAAGAGGAGGAGGAAGGGGAGAGAAAAGAAGAGGATCTACAGGCGGAAGGAACTGAAGCCAACTTTAATCCCAAAGAGAAGAGAAGCCAGGTTGTCCGAAGGAAATCTCCGATTGGAACGCGGTATTGGACAAAGGTGAAAAAGCACCAACAGAATGGCAAGAACAATGGATAAAGGGAGACTTAGAATACTCTCAGTAAATGTAAACGGATTGAATGGACCACAAAAAAGAAGAAGGATATTCCACCAATTAGGTAAACAGAAATTGGATATAATTTGTTTACAAGAAACACATATTTGTGAAAAAGATGAGAAATATTTGCTAAATAAAAATTAGGGAAAACATTTACAGCTTCAGACAAGAGGAAAAGAAGAGGGGAGTGGCAATAATAGTTAAAGAAAACCTATTCCCTGAAAAAGTTCATGCTTCAGATGAGGAGAGAATTTTGATGGTGGAAATCCAAAATGAAGAGAAAAAGATTTTGGTAATTAATATCTATGCACCAAATCAAGACAAAGAGAAATTTTATAAGGAACTCTATGAACTTATTGTTGAACAGGACTGTCAAAATATTTGTTTATTGGGAGATTTTAATACAGTTTTTGATGAGGAAAAGGATAAACAGACAGGCGGAAGAAGAAAAGAAGGACAGAAATGACAAAAAACTTAGAACAATTGCTGACTGAACTAAATTTGGTAGATGCTTGGAGAATAAGGAATTACTCTATGAAACAATTTACATATTATTCGGCTAGACATGATTCATGGTCCCGAATACATATGATATGGATTTCAACAGTAATGGTTAAGGATCTGCTAGAGGCAGAAATACAGGCAGGAACATATGCAGATCATAAACCAGTTTATTTGGAGTTGCAAGCAACTGGGAAGAGAAGCAGATGGACCATGAACTTAAGAATCTTAAGAAATAATAACTTTGTAAATAAAATGAAGAAAGAGTTAACAGCCTTTTTCAAAGAAAATAAGAAACAAGATACATCATTAAAGGTGATATGGGATGCAATGAAAGCATTTTCTAGGGGATTATAAATTCAAGAAGCAGCAAAAGTAAATAGGCAAAGGAAACAAAGGTTTGAGAACCTTATGATGTCTAAAGTAAATAATGATGGAGCAAAAAGAAGACTAAAAATGTTACAACATCAGATGAATTGTTTATTGAAAGAGGAGATAGCAAAGAAATTATACTTTGCAAAACAAAACTTTTTTGAAAATGCTAACAAACCCACTAGATGGCTAGCCTATAAAATTAGTCAACAGAAGGAAAGAACTTTTATTAAAGTCTTGAGAAAAGATGGGAAGGAAATCTATAGAAATGAAGAAATCAAGAAAGCTATGGAGGAATATTATAAAACGCTTTACGGGAAAACGACAGTGAGCACGGATAAAATCCAAAGTTATTTGGAAAAATATAAATTGCAAAACAGAAGAACAAAGAAAAATATTAAACCAACAAATTTCAATGATGGAAGTGGTCAAGGCAATAAAGAGACAAAATAGAGGGAAAGCTCCGGGACCAGATGGGCTCCCGATATAATTTTACCATATTTTTTGAAGAGCAGATTGCACTGACCTTTAAGGATATTTGTAATATGGTGAGAGAACAAGTAAGGACCAGTCAGGATTTTTACCTAAGAGACAAATGAGGAATAATTTGAGAATACTGATGAATGTGTTAGAATACTATGAATTACATCATGAGAAGCAGATGGCAATAATCTTTCTGGATGCGGAGAAAGCATTTGACAATGTTAACTGGACTTTTATGCTGGAGACATTTCACATGTTAGGTGCAGGAGAAAGTTTTATTACTATGATTCAAGCAATATATAGTGAACAAAAAGCGAACGTTATAGTCAATGGAGAACTTTCAAATAATTTTGAGATTCAGAAAGGTACAAGGCAAGGCTGTCCCTTATCCCCACTTTTGTTTATTATGGTACTGGAAGTTATGAATGAAGCCATCAGAAGAGAGACTAAAATAACTGGACTTCAAGTAAAGAAAGAACACTTTAAAATACTAGCTTTTGCAGATGATGTGGCATTAATACTTGAAAACCCAATAGAAGCAGCAGGAGCATTGATGGATAAGATTGAAGAGTATGGAGCAGTGGTGGGCTTCAAAATAAATGTAGGAAAAACTAAAATTATAACTAAGAACTTGGAAGATAAACAAAAAGAGAAGTTACAAGAAATCACAAGATGTCAGATTGAGAAAATGCATTTCTTCACAGCCCCGAGAACCAGACAAGTAGACTCTTCCTAAGCAATGCAAGCCAGATTTACTATTTACAAATTTGTATCCTATCTTCCTGCCCTTACAAGATCCACCAGGGGGAATATATAGGAACATATTGTTCCCAACTGGCTCTGATCATGCCCAGTCTTGGCGTTTACCCTCCCCTCGCTTTCTCCTGTGCCTAATATCAGTCACGGGCTAATCTGCTTTCTGCCTGACCCTTTTCAGCAAAATAAGATAACACGGCTTAAGCAAATAACAGAGTAATCATGCCTCTGTGTAACTCAAGGGGTGTGTGTGAGAGAGGAAGAGAACAGGTAACACATAAAAGCTGCCGTCCATCTCCTGAGGTTGGGGAAATCGCTCTCCCAGAGGGCTTGTGCAGAAGACGAGGGGGGATGCGTTAGAGGCCACCGAATTACCGGAGACAACCGATACACAAAGGCGCTTGGAGATCCTGTCGGGACATGAAGGAAAGGGGGCCACCCCCCAAGCTCTCCTCAGCATGATCCACAACCTCATGTTCATCACATCCATCCTTATTTACTTGTCGTCCTTCGTCGGCATGATCGGCAACCTGATTGTCCTGTTTGCCTTCATCAGCAACGCTGTCCGGCACAAGTCCCTTCAGCCTCTTGACCGGATCATCGTCAACATGGCTTTGGTGAACCTCTTCCTCTGCTGCTACAAGGCCATTCCCGGGCTTCTCATCTTCAGCAGCACCAACGTTTTCGGGGAACTGGGCTGCCGGATCCTGCTCTATACGTACCACACACTGAGGCTAATCAGCATCTGGTCCGTAGAGAACCTGAGCTTCCTCCACCTGATCAAGATCCGAAGGCCCAACCATCAATGGTCGAAATTCATCTACCGGCACCAAGGGAAATATGTCAACGTCACCCTCGTTGGCTGTTGGATAATCAGTATCGTCTTGCAGATCCCTTATATGCTGTACGAGAAAACGGCAGATGGGAGGAACAAGACAATAGCCTTCCTGGCCACCTCGACGTGCTTAAAGTTCACAGAGAGCTTCGCCATGAAGTTCACCACATACGCGTCAGTCAGCTTGGACTTTGTCTTCGTGATACTGGTCGTCGTCCTCAACGGTTTCATCATTGACCTCCTCTGGAAGCACAGCCGGAAAGTGAAGGCCGCTTCCTCGGTCACCAACAGCAGCTGGAACAAACACACGGCCCAAGCCACGAAAGTCTTGCTCTCGCTGCTCTCCATCTACGTGATCTGCTGGATCTCCAACGACATCGTCTGGATCGCCATCGCCTCCGGGCACATCAGGAGCAGCTTTGAAAACAGCGTCCTCAACGCGCTCTACGGCATCCTGTCTTCTGTCTATTACTCAGCCAGTTCGTTCGTCATGGTGCTGGGATACCGGAAAGTCCGAGAGTACCTCGTGGAGGCCTGCTGGTGCTTGAGGTGTGAAAGGCCCACTGCAGTTCAGAGTATGGCCTAGGAGGATGGACCTGTGATGAGCAGATTCTAGTCTACTGGTATCCTCATCCTCATCTTCAAACCCATAAATTCTGGTCCTTGGCTGGAAAAACAAATGACCTATGCCGTTCTGGAGAGAGTGTTCCAATTGAATCAGGGCCCAGATCTTGTTTGTCTGACCTACCCAGCTTCCTCACTGGTGGGAGAGGACTATAAGACAACTCTGCAGGGCAGTTGGTAGATCTGCTTAGAATCCATAATAGCTGTAATGGATCACGGCCTGTGTTGCTTCCTCTGGTCATTCTGCAGAGGTTGCAAACAATATCTAGCCTTCCAGGAATCTGCCCTGTACTGCCCTTGGATCATTAAGGTCAGTATCGTCTATTCTGACTGGCAACAGCTCTCCAGAGTCTCAGGCCGAGGCCTTTCCCATCAACCTGCTACCCGGTTCTTTTAACTGGAGATGCCGGGGATTGAACCGGGGACCTTCTATATGCAAGGCAGATGATCTGCCACTGAGCCATGGCCCCTTCCCCCTCGAAGTTACGTATCATCTTTAAGGGATACCACCACCTTCCCACATTTCAGGCAGACATAATAATGGACCTTGGCAGGGTGGGGAAGGGGGATGGAAGAGTTGTGGGAAGGCCGAGTTGGGACTCTAAAAGAGCCAGTTTGGTGTAGTGGTTAAGTGCGCGGACTCTAATCTGGGAGAACCGGGTTTGATTCCCTACTCCTCCACTTGCACCTGGCTGGATGACCTTGGGCAAGCTGTAGTTCTGATAAGAGCTGCTCTTGAAAAAAAAGAGCAGTTTCTGTCAGAGCTCTCTCAGCCCCACCTACCTCACAGAGTGTCTGTTGTGGGGAAGGGAAGGGAAAGGAAAGGAGAGTGTAAGCCGCTCTGAGACTCCTTCGGGTAGTGAAGGGCGGGGTAGAAATCCAATCTCTTCTTCTTCTAAAATGGACTGAAGCCGAGCCTGAAACTATGGATTAAAAGAAGGGGGAAGCAAGCTGGTTCAGGAATATGAACGGGGAAGGTTGGCTGGGGACCAGGTGAAGAGTGTGGAACTCTACGGCACTGCAGGAGGCATAACCACAAAGGAAGCTGGACTAATAACCAGATCCGAGGTAGGAGTTTCGATCTGAATTTTGACCCCTCTGACTTGCAGGAAGGGAATGTTGACACTTGTGTTGACCTCCGTAGATGGCGTCCATGACATTTGAGGGGGACTCACCAGAGCTGCCGTGAACTTGCTCACCTGTCAACCAGCGGTGACTTTGCCACAAGCCACATGCATGGTGCAGCTCCCTGCAGTTGAGATCCACAGGATGCTTTGAACACGACTACCCACATGGTTGCGCAGAAAGAACAAGGGCTATCGTAGGCAGAACAGTGTGAACAGCCCGACTCTTGTGGTTTCCTAAGGGAAACTACCTAAGGGAAGCTACCTGCCTCTGTACAAACATATGGGCTATTCCTACCCTCCCAATATTTATGGTGTGTTTGCCCTGACACTGCCCTGCTGTTTTATTGCTGGATACGGATTCATACCTGACTGGTAGAGTCATTTCAGGTTAAATTAGTACCGCTGAAAGACCCAGGAGTAGCTGACTCGTCTGCTGCTGGATGCTTGCGAGTGATAGCGGACCCCATTTTTATTGGGTAATGATTCTCCCTTATTTACTACGAGTGACAAAGGGGTGGCCATTAATTTTCTGCTTAGCCTGTGCTAAAGATGAACAGCAGTACTTCATTTCTCCCCTGAAGCAGCTGCTCGGACAATCCAGAGATTAACTACTTTGATGATGGATTAAGGTAGGAGATGAATGTTGCGGGGCAGGATTCACACATTATTTGATATTGTGCCATTGTAATCATTCCCCTCCTGTATTTTTCCATGCTCTGACCTGGATGGCCCAGGCTAGATTGGTGTTAATAAATCTCTATAGCTAAGCAGGGTCAGACCTGGTTAGTACTTAGATGGGAGACCACCAATGAAATCCAGGGTTGCTATGCAGAGGCAGGCGGTGGCAAACCACCTCTGTGCGTGTCTTGCCTGGAAAACCCCACGAGGGGTCGCCATAAGCTGGCTGCAACTCGATGGCACTTGCTGCCACCATTTTTCCATATGGCCAAGAAAATCCAGGTGGTGAACGATTGCGACAGCCCAACAGTCAAAAACGTGTGGATCTGGCCTAGGACCAGTGTCCCCTCTAAGCTGAGTTAGTGTGAGCTAGCTCACAGTTTTTTAGCCTCCAGCTCACAGATTTTTGTCTTAGCTCAGGAAGGCCAGCCCCAGAGCAAACTGATTTATGCAGTCACCAAATCGCTCGCTCACAACTTTAAGGCCCGTAGCTCACAAAGTAGAATTTTTGCTCACAAGACTCCACAGCTTAGAGGGAACATTGCCTAGGACACCACAGTTTGAAAGGACAGGTACAAATGAATCTGAAGGCGGCTGCTCCTAAACTGGGACACATCAGGACAGTTAAAGCAGCCCAGAAGCAATCCAACGCAAGACAAAATTAGGGGGGGGGGCTGGTTGAGAGTGATAGCAATGGGCGACGTCTTCTGTGCCACCAGTGGTTGGGCCCAAGAGGGGTTCAGCTCATTCGTGAACACTGACGGCCCTCCAAGATAGCAGCACAACAAGTATTATCCACTCCCACTCCCGAATCTCCTGTTACTTGGAAAACGACTCTCCCTTAACTGTTGATCGACTCTACCCTGCTGGTTCCATCACTGTGGGTCCTTTCCGCACTAGACCTTACATCCTGGTTCAAACCTGTCCCCGAACTTACATTCTACACTACACTCGAGTTCACCCCTGTAATTATCCCGGCCGGGGTATCGTCTGTTTCCACATTACATTGAGGTCACCCTGCTTTTGCCCCACACTTGTCCCGGGATAAATGGATGCTGTTATAACCAGGTATAAATGCAAGGTATTTGTAATGTATTGAAATGATTACATGAATCACCTCATAGGACTCCCATGTTAAGCTTCGAGCCAGACCAGGGCTCCTCTGAGCGAACTTCCTATTGGTCGCTTCGTAACAGCGACCAATCAGAACGATACCATTCCCTAGGAGGGAAAGACTCCCATTGGTCTTTATTCTAGCAATCTCATTGGTTGTTATTTGTAAATAGGCGTGGCTACATTAGCCCGGTTATGTTTAAAAGGAGCATAAGCTCCCACTGTTTTCTGTTCTGGTTTCTTACTGAGTTAGTGCTTGCTCGTTACTTCCAATAAAGCTGAATCACTTGCTGAATCACTGTACGAGTCCTTTGTTAGCGCGATCTAACAATTGGCGACGAAGGTGGGATGTTAGAGCAGGTAGGCAGCCCTGCGGACATCCACACTTCGGACTCGGAAGAACGCGAGCAGAGCACAGCAGCCGATCCGGCGGAGGCGCCACCAGCTCCGGTGCCCAAGTCTCCCCCGATGGCTGGAAGCCAGAAGTTCGAGTGCTTCGAACCCTCCTCAGAAGACTGGGACTCCTACCTGTCCAGGTTCGAGTTCCATCTGGAGACCCACGACATCACCGATGAGGCGAAGAAACGAGCATGCCTCCTGAGTTCCTGCGGGAAGGGGACCTTCGACATAGCCAGGTCGTTGGTGGCCCCAACTGATATAAAGACTGTCACCTACGCTGACATCACGGAGAAGCTTAAGGCTCACTATTCTCCACAACCGTCGGAGATCGCCTGCCGGCACGCTTTTTACAAGCGGAACCAGGCCGGAGGCGAGACCATCGCAGATTTCGTGGCGGCCCTTCGCAAAGCCGCACGGCCATGTAATTTCCACAACGTGGAGGAAGCCCTCAGAGACCGTCTCGTCTGCGGTCTCAAAGATGAAAGGCTGCAACAGAGGCTGTTCGCCCGCACCACCCTGACCTGGGCAGTGGCCTACGAAGAGGCCGTGGCCGCGGAAGCAGCGGAGAAGTCCACGAAGGAGGTCCGCCAGCGGGTGGCAGAGCCCAGTATACACGCTCAACGAGACAGCGAGGGCGAAGACGCGGATGATGACGTCAACGCGGTTCGAGGCAAGCGGACCCCAGCGAAGACTACCAACGTCAAGCCTTGCTCCGGTTGTGGCGGGAAACACCAGCGCGACTCCTGTTGGGCTCGTGATGTCGACTGCAGAGCGTGTGGACGGCGTGGTCATCTGGCCAGAGTCTGCAGATCAGCAAAGAAGGATCCCTCAACTAACAACCGGTCAGCGCAGAGGGGCACTCCAGTCAGCACCCAAGGCAAGACCCGTTCCTCAGCATCGGAAGCAAGCTGCCAGTTGACGGCGACCTTGTCGAGCGCATCGGCCGTAAATCGCACCAGCAGCCAGGGCAAGATCACCGTGACTCCACTCCTCGACGGCCGACCCTGTACAATGGAGGTGGACTCAGGATCGTCCGTGACGGTGATTTCTGCCGCGTCCTGGCGCCAGTTGTTCCCGAACCGAAGCCGGCGGCGGCTCCAGCCTGCGGGAACCAGAGTGTCCGACTTCCAGGGCAACCGAATTCCCTTGGCCGGACGGGACTCTGTTACTGTTGAGTATAAGGGGAAATGTGTTAAACTGTCATTCCTGATTGCAGAGGGAGACCGGGTTAACCTGCTAGGGTTAGATTGGTTTGAGCCATTGGGCATTGGTATTTCTGGGATTAACAGGATGTCTGAAAATAAATGGGGCATGCTGTACGACCTGTTCCCTGATGTATTTGCCGAAGGGTTGGGGAGGTACAAGGGCCCCCCGGTTGCGTTTGACTTAGATCCGTCAGTCAAACCTATTAGGTTGAAGTATCGGAAAGTACCTGTGTCTCTCAAACATAAGGTGGAAAAAGAGATTGACAAACTAGTTGAGCAAGGGGTTTTAGAGCCAGTACCATACAGCAAATGGGAGACCCCGATCGTAACCCCTGTCAAATCAGATGGGTCCATACGACTATGCGCCGATTACAAATGTACGATTAACAAGGCGCTGCAGCAACATTCGTACCCGGTCCCGGTAATAAGCCACATTTTGG